TCCTCTTGTTTGAGGTTGGCGGAGTCCTTTTAGAAAGTGGCCCCTTCCCCTCCTCTTCTCCCCTTCCCCCACTCCAAAAAGTTTTCCAGGCTGCAAGAAGTCTCAAAACAACAACAACAACAACAACCCAACAACACACACACACAGCAGAGGTGGGGTGAAAACTTGCAGAAACGGGTCAGCCATCCCACCCCACAACCCATGCTGGAGTTTCTCCATTCTCTCTGGGCCTTTTTCAACGGATTTCCCTGGCCCCAGCAAACCCAAAATCTTGATCCTGTACACTTTCCCATGGCCCACCCACCCTAGCTTCGTAGGCACCTTCCCCTGGCCTGAAGCCGGGTACCTGGGCAGGTGGGAATCGGAGCCCAGAGCAAAGACAACCTTGTTGGCCGCTTTGTGACGGGTGGACTTCAACTCCCAGAATTCCCCAGCTGGCATTGCCGCCGTGGAGATTTCTGGGAGCTGAAGTCCACCCGCCTGGGATAGTCCCACTGCAAAAAAAACAACAACCCCTCCTCCTTGATCTGGTGCTTCTCAACTTCAGCAACATTAAAGACAAGAGGACTTCAACTCCCAGAGGCCTCCACAAGTGGCAAAGCTGGCGAAGGGAATTCTGGGAGTTGAAGTCCACCCGGCAGGTTGAGAAAGATGCCTAGAGGGGCATTGCTAAACCCCGCTGCTGTGTTATTGCACGTTTTCCCTTCCGTGAGGTCTTCCCAGCTGCGAATCTCCATCAAATACCCCTTACGAATCCCCGGAATTCACATTTTCCCCTTCTTCCTTAAAGCCTCCGGTTACCTAAGTCCTTCCTTTACCTCCCACTCCCCACACACGCTGGTTCGTGTGTCCGCTTGCTCGCTCGCCCCTGCCCCACCCACCCTTCCGAACCTTGGGTTTCACAACCTCACAACCTTCAACAGCCTCTCGCAACCCACCCGGGGCTGGGTTGACTTCCTCCTCTCCAATCCCAAAAAAGGAAGTCAGCCAAGTTGAGGCTAGATATGAAAAAAAGAAAAGAAAAGCGGTAAAATAAAGAGATATCATGTCCAACTGAGCCTCTGATGACCGGGGGGGACCCAGAGAAATAGAGAGGGGGAGGAAAAAGAGAAAGAGAAAAAGCTCAAAGCGGCTCAGAAATATACATATATATATATATATATTGTTTTTCTGAACCTCTCCAAATCATATCTTGGATACTTCAAACTGTCTTCAGCTGTTTACAGGGGCAGAAGGAAGTTTGCAGTTCCTGGCATTGCAAACAACTTGGTTGTGGGTTGCAAACCCGATCTCCCATTTTTGTGGGTCTCATTTCTCCTTTGCAGTGTCACCCAGATCTGGGGGTAGGGAGGAAAGTGAAGGCTGAACTTTACAGAAACTTTTCAGCGTTGGAAGGGACGTTGGAGGTCGTCTTGTCTAACCCCCTTTCTCAAAGCAAGAAATCTTATCCCTTTCCGGTCCAATGGTTGGTTGTCCAAACTTTTCTTGAAAACCTCCAGCGATGCAACATCCACAACTTCTGGTGGCAAGTTGTTCCGCTGGTTAATTGTTCTCACTGTTTAGGAAATATCTCCTTAATTCCAAGCTGGCTTCTCAACTTGCTTAGTTTCCATCCGTTGCTTCTTGTCCTGCCTTCAGGGGCTTTGGAGAATAAAGTAACCCCCGTCTTCTCTGGGGCAGCCCCTCAAAATACTGGAAGGTTGCTATCCTGTCATCCCTAGTTCTTCTTTTCATCAAACAGCTCTGGCTGCCAGCCCTATTGCAAGGAGAGAGAGAGAGAGAGAGAGAGAGAGAGAGCTGGGGTAGGATGGAAAGGTATTTGTGGGGGCTGAGGACCCCCCTAAGCAACAGGTGGGACCAAATAGAGTTGAGCGAGGGGGTCATAATCTAGACAGTCCCTCCCCCAGATGTCCCTATTCCTCTTTCTGTCTCTTCTCTCCTTCCCCCTTTTCCTGCCCCACGGATGCAAAAAGATCTCTTTAACAAATATTTGCGTAAGTCCAAAGAAACACGTTCCTGGATTGTCTGCCAACTCAATTCCCTCCAATCTTGGCCTTCAAGAGCCGCCTTCTCAGTCAGCTGCAGGGCGGAATCTCCCAGGGAATCCAAAACGAAGTCAAATCCGGGATTGTGCGGATCGTCAAGGGTCAAATCTGCACGCAAACCCTGTCCCTGCCTCTCTCCAAAGGGATTTGAGGCACGCTGGGAAAGTCGCTTTGGCTCCTGGTTTAAGGCCTTTCGAGTAGCGTTTCTCCTTGTCAGATTTGAAGGAGGGGGAGAGAGAGAGAGAGAGAGAGAGAGACTTCAACTCCCAGAATTCCCCAGCCGGCATTGTCTTAGTGGAGATTTCTGGGAGTTGAAGTCGACACATCTGGAATTGTCCTTTTCAAAAAACAAACAAAAAACCCTGCATTGATTGAGAACTGTGTTTTTCGACTTTGACAGTTTTAAGGTGGGTAGATTCCCAGAATCCCCCAGCCAGCATGCTTTAAGAGGGGTGGGCTTCCACTCCCGGAATCCCCCAGCCAGCATGCTTTAAGAGGGGTGGGCTTCCACTCCCAGAATCCCCCAGGCTGTGTTTTAAAATGGGCAGATTTCAGCTCCCAGAATCCCCCAGCCAGCATGC